TCCTTAAATGTAGTTCACCTTTCAAGACTACCGTCGAATTTGGGCAGATCTATCTTAGGTAGGTGGATTCCGAACGTTGTCCCGGACATGGTAGGTGTGGGAGAATCGGTGGTGACTCGAGTAGCGGATCTGAGCTCCGTATCGGCTTTCGTGAGCTTGTCTAATAATACGTCTGCGTTGGCTATGGCGGTATCATAATTTTCCGTTACCAATTCTCGTTCGGCCTCGTTTTCGTCAGGATTCTCGTGTTCATAAAGTTGGTTTTGAACGTCGTTAAATAGTTCGAATTGGATTCGCATTCGTTCGACGCGATGTCGAAGTTTGGCGCATTCGACGTCGGAATAGCGAAATTCACTAATGAATTTTGAAAGGTTGGTCAGTTGTGATTTGAATATGCGACGCTTCAGTTTTAATTCCCGAACGATCGGTTGATTCTCGGTTTCGTTTGCCATTGTATTCGAAGTCGCGGATGAGAATTAATAGGAACGGGTGATGATTGTATGAAAGGAACCAGATTGGCAGTTCAGTAACAAGCCTACCTTAACTGGATTCCGGCTCCTGCGTGATGTCTCAAGATTGCGTGTTGTTCTTGGCCTTGGCTGCGACTCGGAGTAGTTGTTTCTCGGTTGGGCTACGTGTTGATGAGGCACGTGTTTTACCGTTACTGGTTGTAAGTACGCGCACTGTTGTCACTACACAGATCGCTGAATCCGGCTCGAAGGACCATGGATTGACTCGGCAGACGAAAGGAAACGCGCGGGCGTTGAAATGAACCCTTCCGGGGTTGTAAGGCCCGGATTGTACTGTGGACGCGTATGCTCCTGTGTCGCCGATTGACTGCCCGCCAAACTAATCTTGGGCAATCGAATTCAATGTTCGAGTAGTGGTTGCGCGTACTGTTCCGTGATATGAAGAGAGACTTGTGCTTAATGAAGTGAATGACTGCTCGCGTGTACGGGAAGAATTGCAATGCGAGTTTTGACTGTTCAGCTCAATTATTTATATGGATGGTTCCTTGTCGGAACTTGTCCTGGAGGGGGTAGGAACGCTAGTCGCTTGATCGTGGAGTCTCTGCGACCCTTGTTCATGCCCCGGAAATTCCGTCAGGTCAACTCAGGTAGCGGGCCCCGTCGCGCGCTCGACGTCGGCTGACCCTTCGGAAATTCCGGGTTTATGGGACTTTACGGCTGTCAAGGAGAACGGAAAGAACATTAGATGCTAGTTGCTGCTAGCTCATTTACGATGAGCTAAAAAACGTCTGCTTTATGATTTATGCTATGTCTGGCTATTGGGGACGACGTCCAGACAATCTGGACGACAAATGGTTATGGAAGTGGTCCTTGTCTAAAGCCCAACCGTGGTCACGTCCGTGTCATAAACCTGGTCGCAAAAACTCCACGTGTTTGTTCCTTCGCGATGGAACACATTTTGTAAACATACGAAACTGCTAGATACAAATACACTGCTAGAACATTCACGCAAAAGATTCTTTTTATGGACCGGTGCAAAACCTAGTCAATCTATTTTTATTGTCATTGCTGAACGAGGAGACATTAATTATTGAACAAATTTCTTGTATTACTTCTGGCTATTGTAAAAATGACTATAATGTTTATTTTTTGATGTTCTCCTACCTTCTTAGCAATAAATAATGATTTATACAAAACTTGTAGTTATTGGTTTAGTTATGCTCCTTATTGTATATACAGGGTGGTCCACCTAAATAAGGCCATCTAAATATCTCCTCTAATTGCGGGGATACAAAAAAAATTGTTTATGCTATTTCAATGGTTTGGAAAAACCATCGTATTACAATAAAAAGTTTTTCTAAGGTAATTTTTTTCGAAGTTTTCAAGGTCATCAATGTTTTTTTGCGTATAATTGTTGGCGTTGGCCATTTGCACGAAAGAAAACTCTCTCTTATGCGTGGACGCTACACTGTCATTGTTTTTATCATCAAAAACTTTATTCAAACTGTCTTCGACCTCATTTTTGTTCTTCATAGAATTCTAAACTTTTACGTGGTCCTGGATTTGTTTGAAAATTCGTGAACAGCATCTCCCCGGTGCTAGCGAGAGCTACACAGTGTTCTGTTTGGAGTTCTTCAGACAAGGATCTTTCATAGTTCATTTTACCAGGTTTGTATACAATGTTGTATTCGTATTTGTTGAACTTAATTTGTTACCTTATAATTTTTTATATAGGATTTTTAACATTATGTAACCAAACCAAAGGGCGATGGTCGGTTACCAGTCTGAATTGGTCTGTTCCAAATAGAACTGATAATAGTTATTTTTTTATGATAGGGTTCTGGATACCTACGCGATGGGAAGGTCTTTTCCTACAGATACTTGGCTCAGTACAGTGCCTACGGTTGTGGAAAGTTTGGGAATTGAAGCAGTAGTTTTGAGCAAATAATATCGCGATGGGTTTCGAAAGCCATTTATGCTTTACTATCCTATACGATGTGAACATCGTTCTTTAATAATTGGATAAGAGGTTTGGCAATTTTTGCCACATTTTGAATGAAGCGCTTATAATACCCTACGAGGCTCAAAAATTGCTTGATTTGTTTCTTAGTTTTAGGTGGAGGGAATCGTTTGACCGTATCGACTTTCATCGGATCAGGTTTGACAACAGCATATAGCCTAAATATGTAATTTCCTTACGGAGAAACCAGCACTTATTCGGCGGAAGGGTTAAACCGGTGTTTTGCATGAAATTTGTATAATTTCTGACCATGTTCTTCCATGTCACAATATTAAATCCATCGTCCTTTTGAACGTGACTGGAGCGTGTTTAAAGCCAAGTGGCATCCTATTAAATTCGTAATGGTTTTCTTTGAGTGAAGATCTTTACGTACTCGTCGCAGGAGCAGTATCGAATTTTGTGGTATCGAAATGCTAGTGAAACAGTTCGGAAATTGCGGGAGGAATTTCTGCAGATAGAAACACTAACTGTGTATTATGTGAAAAAACTGTCCCGTAATTTTTATGACAAAGGAATTGTGGACTGTAGCGAAAGCGAAGGCGGGCTTCCGCGTTCCGTGCGGACCTTGCAAACAAAGACTGTGGAAGCGGGTGGCACTGCGAGCTTACGAGAGATAAACCGTCACAATTAAAATCACCCCCGTGATTTTTAGTTATGTAAATTTATAAGGATGCATCGATTCATTCTGCAACATTCGGTGTACCGACGAATGACTCCTCCATATCCTATTCATGCGTAGAGACTGAAACCGTCCGAGACCGCCCGAGAATCGGGCGCAGTCTCGAAGCTTTCGGGAATCTCGAAATACTCGGGATCTCGAGATCTCGAACAATAAAATATATCGGGATCCCGCCCTATCCCGCTCGAATTTCTTCGTCCCGTCCCGATCCCGTAACATCGGGTACCCGCACACGCCTGTTGAGTACTGACGCTTCAAAACAGGTTGAATATTCAAAGTGGCTGCTGGAAGAAGTAGTACGAAATCCGGCATTTCCCAAGTACAGTCATGCCTCACCTTAGTGAGCAATTCTGCTTCAGCATAGTAAGCATTTTTATCCCCACCATTTTACTGCGCATCCAGGTTCACGCAGTTGCTTTAGAAGGAGAACGGAAGATGATCGAGAGAGACGGAATGAAACCAGCGGGTTCTATATGTGAGTGTCCACACGGATGAGAAACGTAGGCCATTTCGCTTTATCATGTTTGCGTTCTCACTCTCTTCGCGCATCTATATGTCTGGTGCTTCATCTGAAACACGTGGAGCGATATAATATATAGAGCCCTATAGGATCCTCGACCACATAGTCCAGTGTATTTGCGAACGTCTTGAAACGACGATCATTTCTACAATTATTAAAATTTTCGAAAACCCGTAAGCTACATTTTAGCTAATGGTTCCTACTTTATGAATCAACAAAATTTTGTTAATTCAGCCATCGCAGTACTTTTAAACTGTGACGATCAGCAATCAATATTCTACTGTACGAGAAGGAAACAACGAATAATTTCGCAATTTTATACAATTTTTACTATTAAAAATGTGAAAAACGAAGCTGAATCTTGCATCCATATCCTTTTAGAAAGACTACATATTTAATGCGTCAGGTCTAGTAATAATTAATGTCTTTTTCCAATACATTTTTAAAACTAATTTATTTAAACAAAACAATTTAATCAACGATGTAGTCGCCGTTGTTTTCAACTACTTATGCCCAACGCTCAGGTAGCATCTTAATCCCTCTTCGGCGGCGGTTCTAGTGTTTGCGGAAAGGAAAGGAGTGGGGAGATGTTTCGTCCGGGGCTCTTGTCTTAAACGTGGGGGTAGGACGAAGTCTCCGTATATATAGGGATGGAGGCGGATCGGCTACTAGCGGGAAGAGGAGCCCTCTACTGGCGGGTCTGGAGGTAGCCGCCACATACCCCCCCCCCCCCCCCCCCG